ATAATCAGATGATAAACACGGCTCAGCCAAAGAACACTCTAGTAAACAGACAAAGAACATTTTCCATTGCAAAAAAAAAAAATAAAAAAAAAACAGATGATCAACTTTTCTGATTAAATGTTTATGGTTTGATTCTTTATGAGGAAATTAACTTTGAGTATTTCTGGGTTTTTTAAAGGAACCACAGTTCATTCGTCAGCTTCGTTAGATTCTGCATCACACCGTTAAGAAGGGTGCAACTAATAAAATCTATTATTTATACGTCTGCCTGCTTCATTCCTGTTAATCTGTTAATCGGGTTGTTTGTTTTTTTAAATGTAAATTTCCCAGAGTCCAACTTCAAAATTCAAATGACCCTCAGTTCGAATCTTGAAGATATTCAAACTGGAGAAGCTTCAACAGGACAATACCTGATCAAATCATATATATATATATATAGAGAGAGAGAGAGAGAGAGTGAGTTATAAATGACTGACACACTAATGTTTATCGTAACCAACCAGTGACGTTTAAAAAAAATATCTTCAACATTCCTTCGTTTTGGAACGTGGCTCCAGGCTCTTTCTCTTCTAGCTGTGGCTCCGCCAAACTTTAAATTCCACATTCCTGAGACACAAAGGTCACCACTTGTTTTCTGGCCCAACGCGTCGTTATACAACCCGGCTGTGGATGTTTTTGTTCCTACAACTGCTGCGGTGCCCCAGTGCTTCAGTGACCCTGGTCGTCAAGTCAGCGCAGTGCACTCCCATAACATAGAAACCCAGCATGTTATGTAACAGTGTTATTCAATCAGAGGCGATGAAGCAGCTCAGTCAGAGAATAAACCAACCAGGAGACACTCCTGTGCAGCCTGGGTGTGTCGGAGGTACTGTACCTGTGCTGCCAGGAGTTTGTGTGTTTCTTCGATTGTTGTTGCACTGATGACATTTCTTAGAAACAGGTTTTCATGGAAACAGGAAGTCATGTCTCGAGACGGCACATTTTGCAACGTGCGCTTGTTGTAATGCTGCGGATTGTTTTCATACCAGAGCATCAGCAGCAGGATGAGACTAAATATCCACAGTATCAGTGTTAAATGCAATTTGAGCTGCAGACACCAACCACGCTGTAAGAACCTCTTTCTAGTAATTCATCCACTTTAACACGTCATCTCTTTCTTCTCCACAGGGGGCGTGATTGCCTACATTTCCTCCGGCTCCTCCTCCAGCCAGGAGTCCTTCATGAGCACCAGCCCGAGCCGCGGCTACATGTCCACGTCGCCTCCTCTGTCCCGCCCCTCGCTGCCCAGCAGGGCCGTGGGCATGGTCGTGGATATCGCTCCACCGGCCAAGAGCGGCAACCTGCGCGGCCACGGCACGGAGAAGGCCGGGCGCTCCTCCACGTCCGCCAAGAGCAGCATCACCAGTAAGTGCAGTTATTGAAACAACTAAACCAGCGAGCAACACATTTTTGTGATCTGGTGCACGTGAATCACTGCTCTCTGTTCTCTGCAGAAATCAACGGCATGGTGCTGTTGTGCAAAGTGTGCGGCGATGTGGCCTCGGGGTTCCACTACGGCGTGCACGCCTGTGAGGGTTGCAAGGTGAGACATGTTCCGGGAATGCAGCGTTTTGCGTCCCTGCGGGCTCAATTCATACTCTCACTGTGAGGGTTGGAGCTCAGACGACTCATGCTGTCTGTGTTGTGGTTCCTCAGGGCTTCTTCAGGAGAAGCATCCAGCAGAACATCCAGTACAAGAAGTGTCTGAAGATGGAGAACTGCACCATCATGAGGATCAACAGGAACCGCTGCCAGCAGTGTCGCTTCAAGAAGTGTCTGTCTGTCGGCATGTCCCGAGATGGTGAGCAATTTAGTTTACCTTTAGTCTGTGTGTTTTATTCTTACTCAGTTAAATCCAAAAGCAAACATCAGCTGCCGATTTACTCATAAGCCTCTTTTGTGGTGTCATTTTTTTTTCAGCCGTGCGATTTGGCCGCATCCCAAAGAGGGAAAAGCAGCGGATGCTGCTGGAGATGCAGAACGCCATGAACAACATGATGAGCAACAACAGCCAGCTGCACAGCATGCTGCACGGCCACCAGAGCCCCGCACTGCCCATGGAGGCCATGACCAGCGACGCCAGCTCTTCGGCCTCCTCTTCCTCCTCTTCTGCTTCCGACTCCCCGTCGTGCTCCAACCCCTCGTCGCCGCAGTGCCCACAGGACTCGGAGTCCGTGGTGTCCATGGACACCAACTCCAGCTCCGCCTCCTCCTGCGCATCGGACAGTGGTGAGGACGAGGCCGTCGTCACGACCAGCAGGCAGCACCAGCACGCCTTAGAGTTCAGCCAGCAGAGGTCGCCGAGGCAAGGTCAGGTCTCGTCCTCGGCCGTCACCGTTGCCCTGGAGACCAGGTGCGAAAGCCGCTTGGAGGAGCAGCAGCAGCAGGAGAGCTGGAACTCGTGGAACAACAACGCAGAGATGGGAGGTTTCCAGCACAGCTCGTACAGTAACAGCCAACACGTCACCAACGCTGCTTTCAGGGACGAGAGGGGCGTTTACCAGCAGCTGCCCCAGCAGCAGCGCAACAGCGCCCCTAGCTGCGAACCCTCAGAAGACGGCCAAAGACAGAATGAATTTCACACTCAAAATGCCTCAAGTGGTTACAATGGACCAACCAGCTGCGTGAATAACAGAGCACACCTGGTGAGTAATTCATGTTTCACACGGTTAGATCTTGAAAGGCGCCCGAACACGCTCCCTGACTCCCCCTCTGCTCCCGTGTTCCTCCAGGTCTGTCCCATGAACACCTCGCCCTACGTGGACCCCCACAAGCCAAGCCAGGAGATCTGGGAGGAGTTCTCCATGAGCTTCACCCCGGCCGTGCGGGAGGTGGTCGAGTTCGCCAAGAAGATCCCAGACTTCCGTGACCTTCCCGAGCGCGACCAAGTCAGCCTGCTGAAGGCTGGAACCTTCGAGGTAAATGGTCAAACAGGCGAAAACATGAACACCTCATGTTGTTTTGTGCTGAAGTCCAACACGATGGGTTCTAACGTGTAGAATACAGGACCCAGTGTGGCCGACAGTCCGCTGGGCGCTGACTAACATTTGCTCTGATAACATTTAAAATGAAAGAACTCTCTGTGGGTTTGGATGGAGACCGTCCAGCTTCTGCTCCTGAGGCTGTGACACCTTTTTTAATTCAATTATTTCAAAACAGTTATAATTGGCAACAAGTGTGACTTTTTCTACAAATTCAAATACATAAAAACAATTTTCTCATCTACAAAGATTCGTTGAGACGTCAAACATAAAACAAAAGAAGCATGAAAGTTGTAACTCGGTTGTTTTTAGACCATCTGCACAAGTCAAACCAAAAACCTAAAATCCCCCTTCCCTCCTCGTCTCGACTCTCAGGTGCTGATGGTCCGATTCGCGTCTCTGTTCAACGTGGTCGAGCGGACCGTAACCTTCCTGAGCGGCAAGCGCTACAGCCTCGACACGCTGCGCTCACTTGGCGCCGGCGAGCTCCTCAACTCCATGTGCGAGTTCAGCGAGAAGCTGGCGGCGCTGCGGCTCGACGCCGACGAAATGAGTCTCTTCACCGCCGTGGTGCTCGTCTCAGCCGGTAAGAACGCTTCACTGGTGATACACAGATTAATGTGACTTCTGCAGCAGATTCAAGCAATTTAGGATTTAGTCTAAGAGTAGATGATCTGTAGTGTTAATGAATGTGTGTTTGTCCTCGTCAGATCGCTCAGGGATCCAGGACCTGATCGCGTTGGAGGCCCTGCAGGACAAACTGATCCGGGCTCTTCGAAACCTGGTGATTCAGAACCACGGCGAGGAGGCGGCCACCACGTTCACCAAACTGCTACTCAAGCTTCCCGAGCTGCGTTCACTCAACAACATGCACTCAGAGGAACTGCTCTCCTTCAAGGTGCACCCTTGAAATCTTCCGGATGGGGACGAACCCATGTCCTCCACCTCCTCCACACAACTCCACCTCCACCAGGACCTGCCTCTTTCCGCCACCCCCCCCCCGCCCTCTGTACTCGACCAACCCAGTTGCGTGTTTGTTTCTAGAATGTATTGAAAATTATTTTATATTCTATTTTTGTTAAGTCGACCACGTAGGGTCTGAAGAGAGAGGAGTTTTAAAAAAACGTACTGTATTTATAGGAGGTAGCTCACGCTTGTGGCACACGAACACACGCAAGTGCACGTGTGTCAGAGGTGCTTAGTTGCGCAAAGCTGGAGCCACTCTTCTACTTTCAAGTGACAGAAGATTACTTCATTGGCTTTAAGAAAAGACAGAACAGAAGCTGATTAGTGCGTCATTTGTTTTTATTTAGAGAATTTACGTTTCCTCCAGAAGCCATTTAATTCCAAAGTGTATTCTCTGATGAGCGGGTGAATGTGAGAAACAATATTCGCTCACCGCATGTTTGTTTGGTCCAATATATTTTGACTGATACATGTCAGCAAGAAAGGCAAGCTATCAGACGACGTATCGAAGAATGTGTGACGATCGCTGCTAATGCATGGCTGTACTTAATGCGAGCAATTTACAACCCACCTGGATCCTCTCCCTCAGAAAGCATTCATTGTTTCCGTGTGTACAGTGTTGTTGTTGTTTTTTTGTTTTTTTTTTACGTGTTCACGTCAAACTGCCTGTTCACTGCCTGGTGATAACTGGGGGAGTCGGTGACGCCACTTTTTCAGCGACGCTACATTTGCACAAGCTCCGACGCAGAAACCCAAGTAACACAAAAACCCACCAGACAGTGTGACGCAGCCTCGTGTAAAGCTCTGTGTACATTTTTTTCCCCCCCGATGTCTGGTTTTCATGACACTTTTTTATTTCGGGATCAGACTTTGTGTGCGTTCAGCATAGCACTGAATTTGACACTTGTTTTTGTTGTCATCCATTTTGTTGAAATATCTGTTTCTTCTACCGGCAACTCTGCCACATGTAAATATCTATATAAATATATATATAAATATCTGATGAACATAGAATATAAAAATGATATAGTATGAATAAATTCAAGTGAGGATTACTCCGTGTACTTTGTGTTTTTATTAGAAGTGAATGAATTTATTGGAAGCGTCATTAAAACAGCTCGATCCTTGGGGAAGGTAGCAGTAATCACAGTCCTCCACTGTGTGGCGCTGTTTCCTTACAGCAGTTTGACTTGCACTGAGAACATTAAAATGAACTTATATTAACGATGGAGTTCAGAGCCTACAGATCAGTGATCAGCCTGCAGAGCAACTTCAGCAGCTTAGAATGAGTTTATAACTATGAACTTTATGAATTTAACACTTTTCAAAAGTGCAGTTACAAAGTTTACTTGATATAAACAAGGAGCGGACGAGAGCGGACTGAGCTGAAGGTTTTAAATCCTTCAGCTCACACTTTGTTTACATGAGCTCAGATGATGATGGATCATGATCATTTTATTCATTTATTCTCTCTTTATTAACACCAGTGTCTGAAAGTGTGAATGTCCAGTCAGAGTAAGTTACCCTCCACACGTGCGGCCTCTCGTCCCACAGTGTGTTTTAAATGAGTTCGCTCTCTTTGCTCTGAAGTCAGTGCCTTTATCCTCACGAGTTAAAATACTGATGATTACGAGTAATTCTCACCATGTTCGTCTCAGTTCCACGTGTTAACATCAAGAGGCAAAGGACAAAGTGCAGCTCAGGCTAATGGGAATGTTGTTGAATATAAATATATCCTTTTGTCGACATTAGAAGCAAAATGAAAGCGATTCTCTCTTTGTTTCATGGAAATCTGTTCAGTTGTAAATCTGTAAAACAAACGTGTACGAGGATCGAGTTAAAAATCAGGACCAACTTAAAAAATATTCACATTTATCACAAATTAATCGTGATGTTGGTTATTTAACAGGTTATTGATCTTTCATGATGAGTTAATTAGTCAAACCTTAATTGTTCTTGTTCTGTAGCTTAACATTTTAAATTAGCAGAGGGAAAGAAACACTTGTTCAGGTTCTCTCTTGGCTGATGTTTCTTCCTTCCACCAAGTTTAGTGCGAATTCATTCTGACTGAAAAACACATCCTGTCTGTCTGTATGAAGACTCCCACTCGTTTCCAGTTTGACTCGTTGGTACCAGACGGAGGCGAAGAGCTTTTCTTTCTTCCTCCCTTCTCTCCATTTGTCTTCCACCTGATCGGTCCAGTCACTGGTTTCTCCTCTGACCGAGCCGACCAATCAGCATCCATTAATAGATTGAGCACACCTGAGGGGCGACTCTTCGTCACTCCTCTTCCTCTCTGCCTGAGCTGTGAGAAGACGTTGACAGCAGTTAAATAGAGCTGCATGTTGTCAGGTAGGACTCTTTATAATTTCATACTGAGGAAATAACGTCTGGAGACACTGGGTCAGTTAGTTAGTGTGAGTTCAGGTAAAAAAAAGATAAGACATCAAACTTGAAATAATTAAAAAAGATAAATCACCTTAAAATTAATTCAATCAACGTGCACCGAAGAGAGACCCCTCATGGACATCAGTCCTCTTAATGCTCCTGGTTTATTGTTTTCATCAAGAACCATGAATTCATCTAAAAATTAAAATCGTGCTTTGGATCCACGACAACATTTAAGGGCTTCTTCCCTGACCGCTCCCACACCCACCCACTAAATCCCATGGTAATCCCTTCAGGTGATTTTTTTGTTGTTGTTGTAATCTAACTTTTAAAACAACCAACAAACAGACGGACAGGGGTGAGAACCAGCTCCTTGGTCTTCGTACTGATCTCAAACGAAATCACGCATTTTCAAGCCGAATGTAAAAAGTGAGCAGCTGAAAAGACGAATCTGAAGAGAGGAGAAAAACATTTCTCCAACAGCCCTGAAGAATCCAACCTGTCATCGAGCATCAAGGTAAACTATAAAAATATATCATACACTGGTTTGATGTGGGGGGGGGGTCCCCTAGGTCCCTTTTGCCTGGGCCCCGCAAAGTCCCTTGAAACACCCCTGTTATTCCCCTGTTGGTGATTTTGAATCGAGTTCGTGAACAAAACAGTGAAATAAAAGAAAAAGTGAATGATTTCTCTTCATCATGGACACGATGATGAAGATTTTTGGATGTTAATGACCGGACTCACCTTTTACCAAGTGGCGCTTTGCATATGAAAATGGTTTCAAGCTCGATATAGTTTTCAAGGGCGTCAGAGCAGATGTTTCGGTGTTTGTCGTCTATAAAAACTCAGCGGCCGGATTCTACACCGGAGAACATCTTAATTCTCGCAGAGGATCAGTCACACGGTCGGCCGAGGAACTGCAGGAGAAAATAAAACCAGGTGAGAAATGTTTTCTTTTGTTCTCATGTTCCGTCATAGTTTTTATGGCTCAAACAAAATAGTTGTTTAAAATGTTTCTTTAAAGTTGCTTTAAATTGTTAAAACCCGGGAAGGAAGTTGTTCAAAAGTTCTTCTTTGTTTTTATTTGCAGTAAAATCAGAGATGGCTTTTTATGTGACTCTGTTTCTCCTCTTCTTGGGTGAGACACACACACACACACACACACACACACACACACAATTAATTCAACCTCAGCTCTATGTATTGCAATCGTTGATCTTCCTGTGTCTCTGGTGTAAATTGCTTATTTGATGCGATGGATTGAAACTAGATTGGTGATTGGTCGAGTGTGTTTATCGGCGGGACATCTGTACCCATCCGCTAACGAGGTTAGCGAGGTTAGCGAGGTTTGTGGTTTATGCCAGGGAACTGATTGTTTGTCGTCATGACGATGGTGCCAGTTAGTGCTCTGTGCATCAAATTAATATTTCAGCTTAACATGAGTTTTTAGACTTTTATCTTCGCAGAGATGTTCACAGCAACATGAGGAAAAACTGAATTCATGTGTAAAATAATTCACTGAATACTAACGATACGTCTATTATCGACCCCCAGGATGCATCCTCTGCTCTTGCTCTCAGTTCCCGCAGCGTCAGTACCGCTACGTGCACCTGGCGATGAACTGGACCAGTGCTCAGAATTACTGCAGAGAGCATCACACCGACCTGGCGACCTTCGAGAGCGCGGATGATTTACAGAGGCTGAAAGCAGATTTTTCCTATGAATGGGCGTGGCTGGGACTGAGGGACGACCCCAGATCCTGGCGGGAAACTCTGGGCAGTGACGCCAACTCCTGGAGATGGTCAGCGACCAACGAAACCAGCAGAACCGGTTATCGGCCCTGGAACCAAGGTGAACCGAATGCTGGTGGTGGATTGGAGATGTGCGTGTGGATGAGAGCAGATGGAAAATGGAACGATGCTAGATGTCTTGAAAAGAGTCATTTTATTTGTTACAGTGGTAAGTAAACATTTGAGCTCATACACTTCCTCTGTATTATCATCTGAATTAACCTGTCGGATAAAACAGCAGAATATCTCCACTTCTCTGTTCGGTCTATTGCAGTGACGAACCAAAAGGAGCACAAATATCACTACATCGAACTTTTGAAAACTTGGTTTTCTGCTCGGGACTTCTGCAGAGAACGCTACACAGACCTGGCCATGATCGAGAACAATGCGGAGCACCACCAGGTGTTCTCTGTGAAACCAGCCGGGATCACGGCTTGGATTGGTCTCTACCGAGAGCCGTGGACGTGGTCCGACATGTCTCAAAGCTCCTTTAGAAACTGGAAGAGGACATGTCCTAATAACTACCTGGGCAACCAGTTCTGTGTGGGGGAGAATCGTCTACATGAGTGGAATGACTTACCCTGTGAGGAGAAGTACAGTTTCATCTGTCATCAAGGTAAAGGGGTCAATGACTCAATCAAACGTTGCAGCGTGTGTCTCTCTTTGTGTCGTAGGTGCGTTTATAGATTTATTGTACTTTTCAGATCCAAAATGGACGACGACGGTGGTGAAGGTGAAGTTCCAGACTGATGCAGACATGACTGATCCAGCTGTTAATGCCCAGATCCTCCAGCAGGTACAACTCTCTTGTAAGATGCAAAATGACCTCAGGGAAGGTAAATGACAGGAAACTGGTCCCTTCCTTTGTCCCTCAGCTCGGTGCCCTGCTCACGAGTCAGACTCAGGCTCCCCTCAGCGTGCGGTGGAAGACTGAGCCCAGGAAAACAACAGACAACCTCACTGACAGATCTCGACCCGGTCCCATCGTCCACCTGTGAAGGAGTCACAGACCTTTGAGGACTCGCAAGCTCTCTGACCCCTTAATTCACACTTGGGGAACGTTATGAGAATATGCCAAAGAGAATTACCCACAGTTCATAGCTTTATATCATAGAATGAGCAACCGATATCTACATCGTATAGCTCCGTGCTGATTTTAGAATTTGCGTAGCTACTTGTCCTGTTCCTTCGTTATTTAAAACTCTCGTCCACTCTGTAAGAAGAGTCTGAGCCTGAAAAGGAAAAAAAACGTAGTATTGTTCAAGGCTCACACTCGATCACTGATCAGCTCATTTCAAGTATAAAGCCAAATCCACACCACAATGTTTTCAAACTATATTTTTTATCTTGTAATATAAGTGAAGCAACAGGGAGATGATTAATTTCAATTCAAGTGCTGCTAAAGTCAAGACGCTAAATTGAAATCGTTGCAAAACACCAACACAGCAGTGACGATAAAAACTAAGAAGTTGTTTGTGATTTCTTACGAGACAAAGTGTAACAGAGGTCGGCCCAAGGTCGTCGGTGAGCAGTTGTGAAGATCTCAGTCAAATCACTGGAGTTTAACCTCCGGCCACCAAATGAGACGCGTCCGATACGAGTAAATCAGACGTTTGAATTAAATTCAAATGGTCTCACAGTTCCTCCGTGAGAAACCAAATCCCACCGGGAAAATTTGCCTCTGACTTTGATCTGAGCTGGGAGGTGATTGAACCTCCTGATGATTTGCGTCTCTCAAACTGAGATACTTTGTCGACAGTGGAAAAATAACAAACAGAGGGTTTTCTGTTGCGTTAAAATGAATTATAATGTGATAAAACATAAGAAACCCAGGTCTTCCTGTCAGAGGTTTAGTTGTGAGGCATCGTGACATTATCCAGATCTGAGAGCGGCTTTTGCAAATAATACACACTAGTTTATTTAATTTAATTTTCCTTGAATTAATATGTAACTTCAAGTACTTAATACTCGTGTAGAAAGTATAAGATGGGATTTAAATATATTTTATGTAGAGAATAGGTGTCGTTCAGTTTAATATATACATATATATAGATGACCACAGTAACAGGATGTGGATAGTTGTCGTATATATTCTGTCATCAGTTTGGTAAAGTTAAAGCAGCCGTTAATTCCGATCTCTTGATCAGGACAACGGAGATTTAAAATGGCTGCCACGTGTCCTAAGTATGTGATCGGCCCCAGATGCTCCTAATTCAACTCTCATGGGAACCGTTCATCAATCAACAGGAAGGTTCTTGTTTTCCAGACGTTTAATAGTCCAGGTCGGACTCTTTAGAAAATCAAATACGGCTTCAAAGAGGCGTTTTAAACCTGTTCAGCCGCCGTCGTCCTGCTGCCACTGCTGTGACAGTGAGAGTACAGAGATATATTGCACTAATAAATAACCTCAATGGTGCCAGGCTCCAGCTGAAGGTTTACAACTGGTTGTAAAGAATCAAAAGGACGACCGAGGATCGTTTGGTCATTTTGTTCCAATTTACCATTTGGTGCGACGCCATATTCAGACAAATGCACACGAGAGGAGCAGAGGAAACGAGTTTCACAGTTTTCAGGAAGCAAAGATGTTTGTTTGTGATCACGACGACAACCATTGAATCGAAACATGTTTAATAGTTTGCAAAAAGAAAAGGAATTAATACAATTCTACATTTTTTTGGGATTCTTTATCTGAATATTTGGTTTCACTTTGTACAAAGTGAAGACCTGGAGACACGGCGTCCATCTTTATGCACAGTCTACAGTTGGTATTGAGTTAATACATCCTCACAGTTCTGCTGATTCTTAATAAACACTATATAAAAAAAACAATATATATATATATATATATATATATATATATATATAAATCTATCTATCCACAAGAAGTCTTGAATGTCTGATCGCACCACAGAATGAAGACAAATGACTGAATGAATATTGGAAAGGGTGAATGAATGAATGATGGGGAGCAGGAACAAAATGTGAGCCATGCAAAGTGGGGCAGAGGGAAGAGGAGGAAGATGAGAGGAGGATGGATGAAGGAGGAGAAAGGAGGACAGGGTGAGCAGGGAGGGAGGCGGAGCAGCAGCAGCAGCAGCAGCAGGCTGCAGGAATGTTTCACATGCTTGTCCTCTCCGTGACCTCGGCTCCCTGGAGTGTGGGAGATACTGGGAGTAATTAGCCTCCTTTAACATTGGAGCTGTGCTGCCCTTACGCCTCAATGGGGTTACAGCAGTGGCATTGAAGGAGATCAAGTGTATTTCTTTTATTTTCAAACAAAACCTCTTTCACGTTCTTCTTCTGCACCGCCTGTCTGCAGCACTCCTCCGCTGCGTGTTCAGATGATGCATTAAATCCCTTTTTCTATATATAGATATATTTTCTTTTTGCAAGTTGTTTTGCAGTCGTTTCCAGCTGATGAATGTTGTGGATTAGATTCATTATTTGGAAGTGGAGCAGGTTTCCTTGCCCCTCACCCACCAGCCCGTCTTGCAGCTGACCCACTTTGTCTTCCAGTAGATTTAATCACGCCTCCTCCTAACTGCGAATATTTCTCACTTAAAGTCAGGCATCGAGAATTGAAGTGGACGTGAATGAAGAGAAACTGAGCCTGAGAGTATTGATTCTGTGAAAGGCCACACGGTTTCAATCACGAAATGCCAATACTGGAACATTAGCGTTATCTGCTTTGCTCTGACGCCCTCTACTCAAAACACACACTCCAGTGTCCAAACCCACAACCCTGAATGTTCCCCAGAGCACTGATGATAATGTTAATCCAACATCCATCAAGTGTTTTAACAAGGTTTTGGAATCATTTGAACATCTCCAGTGGAAACAATTCCCAAGTCTGAATTTCAGATAGAAACGTCTACGGACCGTGATGATGTGAAACTTTTCTTTGGAGCCGCTGGAGTAATTAAAACAGAATATGTTGGAGCACCGTCGTTAAAAATATCAGATTTGATATCAGACCAGACATTTTCTGGAGAGATTAAAAGACACAGAATAAAATGTGAAATATTTAAATTCTAAAAACAAACATTAAGGTGTGCTACTTGCAGATAAATAAATTATTCAACTCATCAATAAATAAAATTGCTGGTTTGTCTTAAATGTTTAAAGTTTGATGTCACATATTAAAGGTTTATAACTTTACACTGAACATCACATAAATTATGTCATTTGATTAAACATCATGTAAAACTTTCTCATCTCTGAAATGCACATTTTCCAGAAATTCTAAATATCACTGTTAACCAATGGAATTTTCTTTACTTTACTTTATATAAAGCATCCAATGGCACTGCATTTGTTAAAAGTACGTAAATAGAATATAAGTAACTCTTATCTTCTTATTTTTTATCATTATTTTATAATTTAACTTGTGTTACCAGTTGATTCTGTAAAAAAAACTAACTTCTGCAAGAAAACAACTCATGAAACTTATAGTTTTAAAATCAGTTATCGGTTAATGCATCTCAATATAACTTAAATTTGGAGTAAATCAGTAAAAAAATTAACTCGTGTGTCACCAACTGTGGAACTTTTCGTTAAACCATCTCACGGTGGTTTGATTTCAGTGTATCTGAAGTCTGCACCAGAATCATTTCCTAAAAACAAAACCGAACTTTTAGTGTTGAGGTGGATCAGAGCTGCTGCTGATGTCAGTCCTGAGCTGGGTCATGTGAAGGTCACCAGCGGAGGAGGTTCACGCAGAGTTCAGGCGCATACATTAGGTAACAGCGCCGCTCCCTGTGACATAACCGCGCTGAAAGCAGGTGGAGGCGTCCCGGCAACAAAGACAGAGATAACGAGGGAGGAGGGAAAAAAAGTCCTGGGTCCAACTTTGTTCTTCGAAACAGATGTGGATGCGTCAAACCGCTGGATTCTGCTGCGCGTCCACATGCCGACACTGGTGCGTGTGTGGATCATCGGGATGAGCGCACACGCCCCCTGAGCGCGCAGCTCGCTCACGTTTTATCGATAGAAACTGTGTTTGCGTCAAAAGTGAAGCAGGAGATCGAGCTGCGGTGGATTCCTCATGCGGACTGAAGCCCGGGCAACATGTTCGATTATCTGGAGTTTCAGTCCTTCGCCTCCGGAGACATCATGGACTTCTACTGCTCATCCAGCCCCGTGTGCGCACTGCAGGACCGGGACCAGGACCAGGACCGGGACCGGGACCAGGACCGGGACCAGGACCGGGACCTGGCAGCCTTCTTCCCCGAGCTGATCGAGTCGGACTGGCAGCAGCACCGGTGCTCACAGTGTAGGTGGAAAATAGAAACAGATGTTTTTGCTTAACACGTTTTATAAAACCTGATTCAAATATGTGACCAGCACGAAGGCAAACAACATTTAATCATATCTTACACTATTGTACTAACAGTGTGAGGCCCAAACCAGAAGGAGAAACTACACACTGTCAACATATCACTGCAGGACATCATCCACACCTAAGTGTAGTGTTTCCTCCTGTAGTTTGTTTTCACAGTAAAAGTCTGGTTGTGTTGTAAAGTATCAGACTGAGCCTCAGGAATAACACCGAGGTCCAAGGGGACACGTCTATGTTCTGGAGATAAGACTGAAGTTTTGCAGGACAAACTCATTCTGTTGTGTCTTGTCCACATCCTGGTCAATAATCAGTAAATCAATATTCATTTGAGAGGCAACATTCCTGCAGGTTCAGTGAAAATCAGATATGATTGACAGGTTGATCACGAGAACAGAACAAATGTAAACAGTAAAACAATCTGAGATTAAAAAAAAAAAAAGTGATGCAATAAAACCGACAGCAGAGATAAAGAGACGGAGATTAGAGCAAATAGAAGAGATAAGATGGAGTAAAACATCTTAAAGCATTGATAGAAAATGAATTATGGCCATAAATTATATGTTTTAAAACTTTCAGCTGTTTGATATGTTGAAAAACAACAAGTGAAAAATATTCAAATCCATTCGAAACTTTCCTGGAAACCAAAGAAAGGACTTAAACTGACGATGTAATGCAATTAATTTATAGTTGAAACGGGTGCGTCTCTGCCCAAACTTCAGATTTGTTCAGTTAATCGTGTTTGTTTGAAAACGTTTGCACATCTGGATGATGAAACTCTAAAACATCTCATTTTAGTTTGAAATTTAAAGTTTACCTTCTAATCACATCCGAGTTTAACCTCCCACCTGAGTTACAACACACTTAACTTTAGTTTGAAGTTCATATAAATGCTCATTAATATATTTGTCCACAATTTTAATGAACATCCACAAGTGGAATCTGCTGTATGAACAGATAATGAATGTCAATGCAGTAAAACACAGTTGTAATGACGTAAATTAGTGTTTTAAAAACATTTGAAATGGCCTCGTGGCTGAATGTCGCTTCATTAAAGTTTGTTATAACCTCTTCGCTAAAGACAAGATGGAGTCAGCGACATTAAAGTGTTAACTTCTCCTGCGAGGCGGTTTTCACGCTGACTCTGCTGCTGCAGGATCTTCGTGTTTCACTCGGAGAAAGTGAAGCAGTAGGAAGCAGCGCAGCGTCCTGGGCGAGTCAGAGCGGTGGCGCTCTGTGTTTTGGGACGGTCAGTTTGAGGTCACCGCGGGTTCACCGGACGGTCACTAGCTCAGGAGGTCAAGAGGAGAGCCAGACACTTCCAGAGGATGTTCTCAGTAAAAGTACAATAAACATAAAAAATAGACCATTAAGAGTATTTGGAAAAGTACAGACGCAATTACAGGTAAAGTATTACAAGTAAAATAAGTATTAATTCAAACAAATGGGCCTATAAGTTATATGATATAATGAATAGTGTGGTTATACACAACTCTATTTTTACTTTAACATGTTTAAAATTAGTTTTATGAAATATTGGAACGTTTTACAGAGATTTGACCCCAGTGGTTTTCTCTTTGTTTGTTTTTTTTATGTGATTGGTTTTATGTACGACAGCTGTAGAGTGAATGTACTGAGGTCAAAAACAACATGCACAGATGAAATGTGCTGAACTAAAAAGATAAAGTAGTAAAGTGAAGTTCCTCAAGAATGTAAAAGAACTTTTAAACAAGAAGAGATAAAACCAAGTGGAGATCGTCAACAAACCTTTATTTATAAATTCAGATGATTCAGAACAAAATGCCACAAAAACACATCATCAATTATAATTAGGGGATTCAAAATAAAATAGTGAGAAACTTCAAGCCGAAATAACCAGATTACAGCAAATATGAAATATGAGCAAAATGAAATCAAGGAAAGGAAAAGAAAAGCTAGAGAAGGTCGTGTCTGAGAATGAGAGAATGTTTTGTTAATTTACGCTCATTTAAAAACATTGAGCAGCTTATTGCATCTCTTAATAAACTTAATAATAAACCCCCCCACCCCCTCCCCCCTCCCGTCCCTCGACAGATTCACTTCCACCGCCCCACCACAGACACTTTCTGTTCCTCCTCCCTCCCTCTCGCTCCCTCTCATCACTCACCCGGGGCTTGTGGCATGCTCCTGCATTGTTTGGTGTTGGGAGAGCGCTCCGCCTGATGGGGGAGTCCACGTTTGACCCCCCGATTCCAGGTTCAACCAGGGGCCGCGGGTTCAAGGGGACGGAGATGAACAATTTCTCTCTTTTTTCAAAATGGCTCTCTTTGTTTCACGCCAGTGTCGGCGGAGGTGATCAGAGAGGCGGCGGGGAGGCCGAGCGAGCGGATCTCAGCTCAGGAGTGGGTTTTAAGTGGGAGTGTTGCCTGCTGGGATTGATGGAGGGAAGTTTTACATTTAGCCGGATAAAGAAAGAAGGTTAGAGTTAAACTGTGCTGCAGCGGCAGACTTTACATAGAAGAGGGGAATTCAAAACAGAACATTGAGTAAATGAAATTAAGAAAAAACGGATCTGCGATGCTTCAAGGAAACTAAAGACTGAGACTCCTTTTCTTTGGACGCTCACACTAGTTTCTCCGGCTACATCCACACGACTACGTTTTAAAATGTCCACACTAAAACACTGAAGTTTGGAAATCTTACTCTTACCTGCTCACCTGCAGCGTAGACGATCTGCTTCCTGTTTACACCGGCTCACCACTCTCATGCATTTCTTTAGACGTCTCGGTTTTCCAGTCGTCTTCCCCTCGAGCGTCGCAGTTGTGTCACTTTCTGTGCCTGTGAACCACCAGTGATGTGAGGTGTGATGTTGTGTGTCTGCAGCAGTGGGCAGTCAGAGCTCCAGCTCCAGCTCGGACGACCTCTTCGCCAGCCCCACCTCCCCGCCTCCACCCCCTCGCACCTACAAGCCCTGCTTCGTGTGTCAGGACAAGTCCTCCGGGTACCACTATGGAGTCAGCGCCTGCGAGGGCTGCAAGGTAACATGTCTGCTTCACCAAACACACACGGGGGGGTTGGAAACCTGTGTCATGCTGTAAAAACAAAAGAACACACGCTTCAGGGTAAATGAAGTCATCAGTTTAACCACACGTGTGAGCAACATGTGTTTCTACTGTAGAACTTGAACACAGGACGTTTTCCACACAACCTTTAATTTCCTCTTGTAAATAACCTGATTTATTCAGTTCGGCTAAGATTTGTCAAATTTTCTTTTTTGCTGATTAAATTCATGTTTTCATCTCTCGAGTATTTGCAGAAACTGATCGGACTCTGCTGTGACTCCCACTTTTAATTTACAAGAAATCAAAATTTAAGTTTTTAGTGTTTTCTCATGCTGTAATCAAATGTAAAGAATGTTTACCGTAAATGATGTTGTAGATTTCTGACATTGACTAACAGCATCTATTAGGTGGATTCACTCACTATTGTGCAGCCAATCATTGTTCCCACATAATGAATCCATTCCGCTAGCGCCACCAGCAGGTCAAAAATGTCAGTTTTCTCGTTCAATAATCAAAATATCTATGAATTAAACATTTTTAGGCGTTACATGTGAATACAGGATGTTTTTATTATTAATTATTCTCAAGACTTCTTGGAACTTAAATCATTAACGTGCTCTCCTTCCTCCCGCAGGGCTTCTTCCGCCGCAGCGTGCAGAAAAACATGGTGTACACGTGTCACCGCGACCGAAACTGCATCATCAACAAGATCACCAGGAACCGCTGCCAGTACTGTCGGCTGCAGAGGTGCTTCGCCGCGGGGATGTCGAGGGAGTGTAAGTGTCCGATCCGCTCTGATGTGAGACTCTGCTGATGATCACGTGGCGTCTTTAGAAAATTAGATGTTCGCTCAGGAGGGAACTAGAACGACCCTCGTTATCTCGGATACCTCCGCCAAGGCTCAACTGTCCCCAAATTCCCACACTCATAGATATCAGTCCCGTGTGGTCAGGATGATGATAATAACATTTATGACGTTCATAAAAAAACAGATGACAGAAAATAATAATAAAGATGACAGCAGTAGAGTATGTATCACATTCCTTTGAGTATAGTTCTTAGAGCCAGAGTGAAAAAGCAAAACAACTTTGTTTGAGTGAAGAAAATCTGCTTTGTTTTCAGTTTTGTGTTTTTGAAGGAGAGAGAGACAGGAAACAGGATGAGAGATATTCAGTTAATGGTTCGACCGGCCGGGAATCGAACTGTGTGGCTGATTAGTCGCCCTGACAATTGACCTTGTAGCTAATGCAGTTGATTTTTAAAAGGTTTAAAAGTTTAAATTACCTCAGAAATGAGCCCAAATTCACCACATCATGTGATAAATCTCAGCAAATATCTGAGTTCAGAGGTTACGTCTTGTTTTGAATCTCTTCGTCATCCGTTACATTCTCAAAATAACTTTCCATCCTGAAAAAGTCTCTTCTCATTTCGCTGACAACATTTCTGATGTAAGAACCTCATGATAAAAATGTTGTAATGTCTGTGTCTTCAGACCAATAAGCTGTTTGAGGACGTTTCTCTCTGCTCTGGGCGTTTCCTCACACACCCTCTTATCAGGTTATTGGAGCTGAATGCAGCTGGACAAAAGAAAGACGTCGGTCAGAGCTGAATAAATTCACTCGGCCCTGTTTTTAGGTTACGAAGGAAAAGAATGAAAGAAAAAATGATTTATATTCTTTAAAACAGAAACAGGACGGGATTCGTTTTAGATGTGGTGGAAAACAAAGTTTTTTAAACTCTTGGTAAAAGTAACAATTCTACTGTGTAGAAATATATCATAGGTCAAAGTATAGAATTATTTTCAGTGAATATAAAACTTGGAAAAGTATTATGAGTTAAATTTACTTAAAAGTGAAAGAAATAATTCTTCCTGATTAACAAAACATCAGTGTGACTAAAATAACAACAACGTACTTTATTGTCCCATCTGCTAACGTGGAGGAGGCAGGGTTTTTGATCTGTACTGCAGCCAGCCAGCAGGGGGCGATTGAGACGCTTTGGCTTGACTTTTTGTGAGCCGTCCATCTTTAAATGCACAGTCTGTTGTGTCTCTGAATGTGAGCCGTCCTCTCCATGTGCCGGCCCTGTGATTGGCTGACGACCTGTCCTGGGCGTGACCTGCCTCTCGCCCGCCCAGCTGTAATTGACAGGATGAGTGTTCCAGATTATGGTGGAGGCTCTGACCACTGTGATCACAACGTGCAGGACAGACTCACAGTTTGATCTCACACTTAAACTTCAACATTCGTGTTAATCTCAGTTTTCTGTGAATTCTTCATCACGTGTCTTCACTCTCTGGAGACTTTCTGCAGTTTCCTGCTCACAGTTGCACATTTCAAACTCCTTCCCTGGACTTGAGCTGCCTCAGCTCCGCTGCAGCTCCCCCGACTGCGCACGAGAAACACGGTGTTCAAACCCAAAAAGTGCAGTGACCCAGATAACAGGGCTGGTGTTACGCAGAGGGAGCCGGTGGCGGTGATAGGGCGGCAGCGGAGGATCCACCCAAACACATGTTCCTGTGTTGCTCCTCCACGTTCAGACACACACACACTCACATTACGTAAATACAGTACATCACATGGAGCAGACGGATGCCATGTAACGCTTCCTGGCTGCTGCTGCTGCTGCGGTCGCTCTGCAATATGAGCTGACTCGAGTGTTTACACAAGGAGGCCTGGAATTAGGGCATCCACGCGGAGGAGGAGGAGGAGGAGGAGGAGGAGGAGGAGGAGACTAGGAGTGAGGAAGGCAGAGACTGAGGTGTTGCATAATCCTGAGCTCCCTCGACATGTGCGATGCTGCCTGAACCAAGTCAGTGGAACGCATTGTAATGTGATGACACTGTTACCGAAGCGATTATGAAAGGCTAACCTGGTTCAGGCTGCACATGCTCCAGGCAGCAGATGATTCACTCAGATCAGCTGTTTCATTTATAGTCAGTTAATTTTCTATCAAACACAGAGTTACAGTGAAACCTGCTTTTACAAGCTGAGCCTCAGTAACAAACGCTTAAGCAACACTATGTTGTTACGTGTGTCGTCTGACGCAGTTGTTTTACTTCGGGGGGAAACACTTGAGCGGAATAAAAGACTAAAAGCATCATATGAAATTAAATTAATTCAACCTTTAGTTAAAAAAATGTAATCCTCTCTTTTATATATCAACTCAAATCAATTCACTGATCCTGACACGCAGGCGGATCCAGGATATTTGATTTAATTTTCTCAGGGAATTATTTATAGATCTTAATAATAAAAACTAATGTTTATGTGTGAGTCTGTGATTCGGTGCAGCTTTAAAGGGAGTGTTGGGGCTGGTATAGTTATAGATACATAAACAAAGCTTCAGGTGATGTGTCCCTGTACAACAGTTTTCTTTCTTTCTTTCCTTCTAGGCTGGTGTTGTACCTAATAAACTGATAACTGAGTGTACACTTGAGATTTCTCGAGCTAGACCCATAAGGATTTTTGTGGGTCAATGCTGATATTGGGGAATAAAATAATTCTGATGCTGTCATCAAACCCTTGTGACACAGAAACGTGATTGAGGCTCGTTACTTTAACCTTAAACATGATGATAAGTAACTATAAATAAAAAGAAAACGCAATTAAAACCACCCGTATGAATGTGTGACATCAAAATACTAACTCATGTTGAAGCATTATGACCTAATTATCTTGTAACCGGCGTCGCTCTTGTTCTGCAGCTGTGAGAAACGACAGGATCAGGAGGAAGGGGAAGAAAGAGGCGGTGAAGATGACGATCATGGAGACGTACGAGCTGACGTCGGAGCTCGGCCTGATCGTGGAGAAGATCTGCAGAGCTCACACGGAGACCTTCCCCGCCCTCTGCCAGCTGGGAAAATACACCACAGTGAGTCGTGACATGAGATCTGACTCTTCAGGAATAAATGAATAAATGAAAAATAATGTGCAGAGGTCAACTCCATCCAGTGATTCAGTGGATTCAGATGTATTTTGTGCATCACAAGTGAATGATATCATGGATTCGAGCATGTGTTTTCTAGTTTGGTTGTTAATAGAAAACCTCAAACACAAAAACAACAGGATAAATACGTGAGATTTGCAGAAATGTCCCTAAACTTGTGGAATTTTCCACTTGTGGGATTACCGGAGTCTGAAAGCCTCATGGGAAATGTAGGAGTGTCGGCCGTGATCCGTAGTAAAGAGGGATTTGAGACGTCTGAGGGCAGTGGCATTAAAAGCTCAACACGTGGTTAATGCTTAGAGTCTGTTGCTGAAAGGTCACAGCTCCATGTCACAGCGGCTGAACACGCGCTCGAGGTTTTTGAAGTTGAAATCTGAAACATTTTCAAACTTATTTTTAATGAGAAAAGAGTTTTAATAGAGCTGCAGTGACAAATCAATGTGTTTAGGATCAATTAAATATAGATTTGATTGTATTGAATACATTTGGAAACAGTTTACGGAACATTATGAGAGAACACATGAAATAAATTTCTCCTGATATTTTGGTTTAACAGCAAAGAAAGAAACATTACACTGAGTTGAGGATTAGTTTGAATCTACACGTGTGTATCGTTGCTACACCAAAAAAGAAAAATCCGAGTGGAACGACTAACAAGCCCAGAAACCAGCATCCGTCCATCACAATGAGGAGAACCTGCTCGTCGCTTCATGATGAATAAACAAAGATCTCCCGCTGTTATGAAATACATTAAACTGTTATAATGACCAAGGGTGTGTCCTTTCCAGGAATACACGAATGTCCCTCGCCTCACTTGAGTCATGAAAACAGCTACTGCACAAACCACCTCTACTTCCTGTTTTTAAATAACGACAAATCTTTAATTAACTATATCTAATACTTCAAAAAGTCTATTTTGAAGAGTGTAGATCACTTTTTAAAGATTGAAAAGGATTCAATATTTAAGTTTAATGATTTTACCAAAGTGGAAAAGTCGTAGTCAATGGTGAATACGGCCCAAATACCACGAAACAGTACAACTTTGGTTGATGTGCGGGATCTGTGGGACATGATAATTAAAGTCATTAAAGATCTTTAAAGATTTTCTTCCATCTCTTCTCCTGCCTCCAGAACTCCAGCTCCGACCACAGGATCCAGCTGGACCTCGGGCTGTGGGACAAGTTCAGCGAACTCGCCACCAAGTGCATCATCAAGGTGGTGGAGTTCGCCAAGCGCGTGCCGGGTTTCACCGGCCTGACCATCGCCGACCAGATCACTCTGCTCAAAGCCGCCTGTCTGGACATCCTGGTACGTCCGTCCTCAAACGAGATTCCTCTTCGGGAAGGACATGGTTATCTTTGCTTCTGTATTTGGAATAAATGTTGTAAGCAGGATGTGGTAATATCTGGAACTGAGTGACTGTAATTACACAAATGTGAGTCACACCTTCTCCGATCACAGCGTCAGCCAACATTCTTACCGGAGACAAAGTGAGTGGCAGGTCGGCAGACGGGGGAGCGGCCCTGAGACAGAGGGCGTCGCATGTTTTGTTCTCTGCCATCCTCCAGCGTTCCCCTCAGATCTGTCTGTCATCGTCCCGGAGACGATCCTGGAGCCTGACACATCGTCACATGTGTCACGATGTGTTTCCTCGTGACACATTTCATTACTGAGGCATTCTGGGACAATTTTCAACCTCATTTGGTCTTCAGATTTGCCATTCTTCACCCTACACATAGAAAATTTCATATTCCAACAACACGTCATGTAATTCCTGAATTTCTATTTCCTGGTGTTTACGATGTGATAATATGGAAGCATCATAAATTAAACCTCGTTCCACTGTTTTCTTTTCTTCTTTGTTTTCCGTCTCTGTCGTCCAGATCCTGAGGATTTGCACTCGCTACACCCCCGACCAGGACACCATGACCTTCTCTGACGGTTTGACCCTGACCCGCACTCAGATCCACAACGCTGGATTCGGACCGCTCACAGATCAGGTTTTCACTTTTGCTGGACAGCTGCTGCCGCTGGAGATGGACGACACAGAGAGCGGGCTCCTCAGCGCCATCTGCCTCGTCTCTGGAGGTATGGGAGCTCCAAAGAAACGTTAAACCATAAACCACTTAATAAATGTACACGCACCAGTTCTCTGTGCGTATTTACCTCTGGAAGCAAAACGCTGTGTATCTCCGTCTGTTCAGACCGACAAGACCTGGAAGAGCCGTCGAAGGTGGAGGTGCTGCAGGAGCCGCTGCTGGAGGCGCTGAAGATCTACTCCCGCAAGCGGCGACCCAGCATGCCCCTCATGTTCCCCAAGGCCCTCATGAAGATCACCGACCTGCGCAGCATCAGTGCTAAAGGTCAGACGCCTCTGACCGTTCTTCACATGATGTAACGGGGACAAGACGCTAACGTTAACGTGTTGTCTGTGTGCGTCTCCTCAGGGGCCGAGAGGGTGGTGACGTTAAAGATGGAGATCCCGGGCTCCATGCCGCCTCTGATAGAGGAGATGCTGGAGGATCTGCAGAACCTGGAGGAACACCAGAAGAATCGCTCGGAGGAGAGCTGAGCAGAACACACACACACACACACACACACACACACACACACACACACACACACACACACACACACACACTCTCTCTGGTCTCTCATTCCGAAGCTGCTCAGAGAACAATACGTCCGTCTTCCCTCCCAGAGAAGCCGCTCACGTTATAAGGTGACGATGCAGTTGAGAGTCTTACCTCAGTCTCTGGTCAGTGAACATTAACGGACTCCTCAGCGGACTTGATGTAAAACAACAGAGAACGATGCAGTAATGTTTTAATCAGTTACATTTTTAACACCTCATAACCAGAGAGTTCTGTATTTATATTTGCATGGATTCATTTTTATTTGATAAATAAATAACAATACTTTTAGCGTTAGTCTAGTAAAGAGAGTGAACATATGGAATTTGAGCTTTTTACAAACGATGTGAATTTTTGTACCTGATGTGTTAAAGTTTTTCTTCACGTTTTTAAAAACAAAAAGGGAAATATAAGTTTTCTGAATGTTCATAAATGGCATCAACACAGTTCACAAGCAGATGAAGCTGAGTTGTGGCCGGAAACTTCAAATTCAATTAGCAAAAAAAAAAAAGAAAAGGAAAATACAGAGTTGTGCATTGTATTGGAAATCTGTGTCTGCAGTATGAGGGACAAGGATTACAAAAAATTAAAAGAGGAATTTCCGTTATTTTACATTATGAGAATAAAGTTAAATTGTCGAGAAGAAACTTGAAATTTCAAGATTAAAGTTGAACTTTTAAGAATCTATCAAACGCTAACTTTAACTTAGAAAACTGCCTCGACAAAACAACACGCGTAGATGACTTCGTTGAAATCGTTCTCGTAAAAAAAAAAAAAAGGGAAAATCTTTTTTTAGCTCATGAACACGGCCTGAAATTCAGTGTGAAGACTCTGAAGAGATTCTGTCAAAGCTGCGTCTGTTCAGGAGGAGAAACCAAACACGTTCGTACAAACTGAAACTGCTGGAAATGGACAGATGCAAAGATGTTAATGCTGAAACCAAACGCTGCTCAAACTGGATTTAAATCAATTATTCAGAAAATACAAAAGAAAAATCTTGTTTAGTTCGACTTCCTTTTCCACCACATCTCGACATCGAAACATCCCCGACCTTCATCCTCCTCCGTACGTCCACAACACTGGTCTGTAAAGTTTGAATCCAGTTTTCAACAGGGCTGCATATTATTATAAAATAATGTTTTCAACATAAACAATATTTCATTAAAGAAAATAAGCCAATTTCTTAAATCCATCAGCGTTTGATGCCTCGTCACAGGAGGCATCAGAAGTAACTCATCGCAGGAGCAGAGCAGGTGTAAAATAATGCCTGAAATAGGTTTTATGAAAAAGAATGATATGGAATTGTAGGAATTATTCATAAAAACTACAAAGTGAGAATCTTATGTACTGTAACACCTCATCCGTGCCTACTCTAAAAAAAACATATCTATGATTTTTACATATTTTGCAAATTTATCAACCTGGAAATGTGAATGCCTTCATTTTTCCACCCTTGCCCGCTGTTGTATAGTATAACTACTGTGTGTACATATTATATCTATGATCATTTTCCATGGTGCGTCCATTTGTTATAATACTTAACAGATTTCATCACATTTTTTGTCGCTCTATTCATTAAAATCTTGTGTAGCAGTTCTGATTTCTGCGGAGTCGTGTTTCCTCCGATGCTCGAGGATTGTTTCTGTGGTGACGCAGCAGCTCGTGGTCTATGTCAGGTTGTTGCAGGTCATATCAGCTGCCCTGAGAAGGGCTCATACTGCCCCCTGTGGATCTGTGCGAGGCATTGCAGTGTGGTACATTCTGTCCACTGAGTTTTATTCCACTGAATCTATGTAACTGCTTTTTTATAAATATATATTCAGCTGACTAAGATCTAAAAAAAAAAGTGTGAATAAACGTGACTTTATATGTATGATCATCTCCAAACTCAGATAGTAAATGTTGCAAACAGATCTTTAATGATAATAATAATAATATGGATCCACACCAAATTTGAACAGGTTCATTTCTGACCCATAATGCATCCCTTCACCGGGTTTCATGACAATCTGCTCAGTTGTTTTTGTTTAATCTAACTCACTAACAAACAAACAAACCAAAAAACAAACAGGGTTGAAAACATAATATTTAATACATCATACAAGTCTCTCTCTCACACACACACACACACACACACAGAAACATAACTTGTAGTACAAGTACAAACGAGTACATGTTTTATGAATTCTATTGGTAAACATTTTATACATTCTGAATACATTTATAAATGTTATGATTTGACATGAAGTATCACTGTGAATCCACGCCAGAGCAAACGTTGCCTTGCTGAAATAATAGTTATGAGGAAGTATATGGACGATGGTCGTTTCTTTTCTCTCCGACCCTAAGATGGAAACAAAACACATGACCGAGTGTAAATATCTCAATCTGAGGAAATGCTTCTTTTTCATGTGAAAAGTTTAAATGTTTTGTGTTTTACCAGTTAATCACACTTCATGTCACATCCTAACTGCCTGTTATTAAAAAACAATACAAACTAAATATAAAAGTTGAATTGAGTTAAAACAAACTAATCTGCGAGAACCTGCAGTGACATCCTGGATGTTGTGATGGTCTCTATAGACATTCACTGAACTCTGGAGACTTTCTCTGCCTGACCTCCAACTGTTTTTATTCTTGCTTTACTTTTTGTAGACGTTCTTGAGCCACATTTGTGACAATGCACTCAAACAAATGGACCAGGATAGGGTCAGTAGTTATTTAGAGGTAGCATGTTCTGTGACTTTAATGTAAAATTAATGTGAGAAAATTCTCCCTCACCTGCTGTTTGGTGCTTCGTAGTAGCTGCTCTCCTCCAGCAGCTCCTCTATGATCCCCTGAGAAGAAACAGTTGCACAGAAATCATGACCTTGAGGTGGAAATTAAATGATGTCTACAGAATCATATACATAGAACTGAAACAACCAGCATATTGTCTCAATGACTTATTTAATCATTCTTGATTACATGACAGGAATATTTTAAATAATAATACTATTTAGATGGATGAATGAACGACATGAAAGTGACCTGCATCTGCTGATAGGTAACTCCCTCTTTGAGGTTCCCGTCACCTGTCAAAAGACACAAAAACACGATGCATACAAAAGAGTGTAGGCATCTAAAAATGAATTTGCAATATTTGAGATATGGGGCCGCTCTCCTCTACACACTGCTTCTGCACTGGCTGCAGAACAGCCAGATGATAATCTAGTAAATTGCTGAAAGGCATTTAACAGATTACATTAACCATTTCCTTTGAGTTTATGAAAGAGCAGCTCTGTGGCACCGCTGTACTGTATATGGGGTGAAGCTGTTCTAACTTGAATGTAGCTCTACCTGCGCTGTCAGCAGTGACGGGGTCTCCTGTGCAGTGGTGGACCAGAGGCCACCAGTCTGAACTTGTTGAGCCTAACTCCATCAGCTCTGTAGAGGCCTGGAGGAGCTGCAGGGAACGCACAGGATGAAAATGGTGAGGAGTTGGGTACCCAGTCAAACACTGTCACATTTCTGTGATGCGATACCTGAACTAAATACAAATTTTTTCCATTGTTTGTTCAATTTGAGTGTATCAGCAGGCTCATATTTGCATTGTAAGAACAAAATATACTCCAGGGAATGTAATTTGCTCTGCCTTTTACCAAAGTACAGGAAATGCATTTCCTGATGAAACTACAGCTACAAGGATGCCGTGTCCATACTCAGAGGAGTTGATCATTGTCTCCATGCAAGGTGCATTGCCGCCATCTACTGTACTTTTGTGTATGTGAAGGGAAATATGCGGGAACTGTTAGAGAAGAAGTTTTTATTTATTTTCAATAAGTTCAAGACAACAAAGGAACAGTCCATTCCTCTTCTTTTTTGAATGTAGAACATCCAAGCACTCTGCTACCCCCCCCCCCCAAACCAAACAGAAAGTTTTATCAAAGCTAATTCAAGCATCAGCAGGTAACGTTTTTTTTTTTAAAGATAAAGAAATTGACAGTGATGGGGAACGGGGATGTTTTGGAAGGGGAACTGGAGGAGCTGGACTTTCTGCGTGTCCCAAAACAGGTTGAGGAGGAGATTGAGTGCTCAACCCCCCAGGAGATAGAGGAGATAGAGAACGAGATGCAGGAGGAGATACAGGAGGAGATCCAGGAAGAGATAGAGGGGAACATTGAGGAGGAGACAGAGAAGCAGACAAAGGAGGAGAGCTACACCCCCGATTTTGAGGAGGTAAGTGTGTATGTATATAAGTACACACCCCATACACAAAATAATAATTATAATTGAAACATCTAATATTTTAACTATTATTGACTCCCTTTAAGTAATTGACTGCATTTCAATAATTAAGAAATTATTTTAAAAGAATAATATATTTTGTTTGGCTGCACAAGAATATGAGTGAAAAAACACAATAGCTTAAAAATGAATGAGCAACAAACCAAAAAGTGTTATATGTTTCACAGTCTGAGGAATCAAGTTCTTATGATGGTCTGCACAGCGACCGACAGAAGGAAAAAGATGCCGAGGGATTTAAAAATAAGAAGAGAAACAACTGAAATGAGCAAAAGGCGAACAGAAAACCATGCGCATGTTGAAAAAGATCAAACAGCTCATCGTAAGCAATCAGAGAAAGAACACCAAAGCAAAGCTCCAAAAGCAAATGAGCGAAATGACAGCTGATCTCAAAGAGAAGGATGTGCTGATCGAGAAATTCAAAACTGAGCTGAAGGGGAATTGTGAGGTTTTCTATCAAGGACAGAAATCGATTAAGGAACTCAAACAGATACACGAGGAACTTTTTAAGATGAACCTGAAATGTCTCGAAAAAGACAACGAAATCCAATCGCTTCAATTCAGCATTGAAACTCTTCAAAACAATACCGAAGCCAAGTGCAATATTATTTCCATGCTGCAAGTGAAAGTTGACCAGGGGGCCTCAGACCTCAAAGAGGAGCGAGCAAAAAACTACAAACTCCAGAGGGATTTTGAAGCTGCCCTCTCCCGACAGCAGAGGGAAAAAGAAGAACTGATCCATCTGACTTGTGAAAATCAGCAACTGGCTTTGGAGCAAAAGAGGCAACAAGGTGAACTTGAGGATGACCCCAAGAGAAAGCTTGCTCAAGATAACCAGTGGACCTCGAAACTCAAACAGGACCAAGCAAAAAAACCATATATGTTCAGACAGTGTGTGTGAAAGATGTGGGAGCTACAAGAGAGGTTTGAGAAAAACATTTGAATCATGGAAGGCTCACATAGATGCCTTTTATAAAATCCAAACATTTCAGAAAAAAAAGCATAAAATTACAGCTTTGTCCCTTGAAAAGTTTTTTTTCTTCCATATTATTACTAAAGGTGTGTTACGAATTATAAGTCAACAGTACAAACCTTGCTTAGCTCCACTTTTAGGTTGTATGGATCGCTTCCATAGTGGAACAGAGACTTTTTAAATCTTTCAATGAGTCGACGTCTGATGTTATGGTGCGGAGCTGGTGGAAGCTGGAGATGAGACGAGACCAAATTTATTACCAACACAAGAGCCCATTTGCGGGCAGATCACTATGAGTATTTCTACTGGACCAAAGAGTGAGCTAATCGTTTGGATCACAAGGATTTCTAGGATTTTCTGTGAGCTAAACTACAAGTTACAATACTTGAGAGATGTAGACAATTTTGTGCAGCTGCACGAGGAGCCTCTGGCTGGGATCGACAATCTGTCGAAGCTTCTTCTGGGAGATGCAGATCCCTGCTGACACTGTGTTAAGATCCAAAAACAAACACACTGGCTGACAACGGCCAAATAAACAGGACAGACGTTGTTTATAAGAGACATTTATAACTTTCAAACTTTTAAAATGTTTGCCTGAACTTCCGCTGGGTTTTTTTGTGCAGTCTCCTCGTATTGTCAAGAGATTGAAAGAGAGGGTTGGGCTGAAACGCTACCTGGTCTTGCTCTCGTCCTTGCTGCAGCATAATCCCTACTGAGAAGAAAAGGCCAGTGAGGAAGGAGAGGTCAATGAACAGTGTTGGTGTGTGTCTTGATAACTGTGCATCAACAAGTGGCCATTATTTAGAAGACACATTTTAACGTGCATGGTTAAAGTAAAAATAATTTACTACTTAATTCCTCCTCAGTGACCACAAGTGCAGAAAAAGATAATGTGAGCTTTTTCACTTACCTACTCAGAACTTGGTCGGGTGTGACACGGGGACTGGACGTCACTGAATTAAGTCAAAAAATATAAAAATAAAAAATATCAAACAGGGAACAGAGTTGAGTATCATCGATGGCGAACGGTTGAATGTTTGTCTGTTCGGACATTTGACATCATAAATTATATTTTCAATACAAGTAACTAAGTGCTTTACAACAATAAATATAAAACTCTCAAACAATAATAAAGATAGAGATTGTTCCAAAGTGAAGGGTCAAACACACGCCACCCAACATCGTGATGATTTCTCTAGAGAACTGACCGTAGGGTTTTCCCTCAGAGGAAGTGGAGGTGTTTTTCATATCAGACGGTTCAGCATCATCATCTGAGGCGTGTTCTGAACACGCATACACAGAATTATTTGTAACATGGTATGATGATGAATTTAAA